ATGCGCTTTCATACGAAATGAAAATCTCCCTAATAACTTCATTATGTAACAAATTGCATAATTTCGTTGGCATTTTAGAGTTGACTACAGTTCCTACCTGGTAGAGATGTCATCCCCATCATCTGGATTCAAATTGAAAATATGCAGTTAAGAGACAAATACGTAAGGCCCCAAGCCATACAACACTAGCCCAATTTGGTTACACAAGTAGAACTTTTCAAGGCAAACATAAATTCAAATTCACAAATTACAATAAAATTAGGTGGCAAATCCAAGCTGCAACCCAACGCCTCAATGGGAAGCTCAATTATCGTTATTATATCTTTTATTTTGGCTAGAGTAGTGTTGCATAGGGGGAAGTGTAAATGCCTCTTAGGGTATAGCCTGTTTTGAAGGCTGTTGTAAGCTATGAGAGCATCCGGTTGGTACCTACTAAACGATCCAACACAGAAAAAATCGCTCGCTCACATATTTATCCTAAAAGTGAACATAAGGATCATAGTTGAACCAAGCACTAGAGGGTTCCCTAGAAGGCCAATTTTGCAGGAAAAAAATATAAAGAAAATGGATTAACTTATATTACTGGAATATCACTTTAAGCTGTTCGATCAAAGTCATGTCGCTGTGGATGACATATGAAGTGGCTGCAAGTGAAACGGATACTATTGTGACCGGATTGCAGCAAAATCTCCTAAAACTCTTATATTTTGTGCTTTATTCTGCAATGTTAAGCCATGGGATTTCGCTCCATTGCGCGTTTAAGGGGGCATGCAATGTTCATGAAACGCGTGGGTTTGAGAGTGAAACCCAGATTTGAGGCTAGGCTAGAATATTCTTCTTGCTCGGCAGTACTTGTTCCCTGTCTCTTTTTCTCCAATCATATTAAACACCCACAAGTAGTTTCCATTTAATTTCCCATAATCTTTCCTTCTATTCAGAGTATTGTCTGTTTTGTTAATCTCTATGGATGCCATAATTCTCTGCTTATTGGAATGGTCTCTATACCCAGCTAAGCGTTCTGGCATTAGATCAGTTGATCTGGTGTCCTGTGCGGGCTATTCGACTCGTTCTGACTTTGGGGCCAACAAATCTTTGCAGGCTGATTTATGTTCAGATAACTTCTTATGTATGGGTCAACAGATCTCCCACGCAGGCGCTAGCAAATGAACGTAAAACATCATAGCAGCCCATTTTAGAAAGTGGGCTCAATTTACCGAATAGATGACATTACTCTTTATATATTGTGCTATTATCTCACTTTCTCAGTAATTTACCTATCCTTTTTGAGAGATAGCACGATGGTCGCATCAAGACCCTATTCAAGTCATCCAGCCGCCTATTTTGCCTTAAATAGATGCTTAACTCTAGAATATTCGCTAATATTATAAGCAATTCTTAAATGATCCTAAACAAAAGTAGAACAATATTTGTGGATTGATATACAAGAGGCTATGGCCTAAGAAAGCATAGACTTGGTATTATGGATAGATGCAGCGAAAACTATAGCTTGTTGGCTAACAGGACAAGTTATTGATCCTAGACGTTTTCTTTTAAGCAAAAGCTTGACCATGAGAATTACACGGTGCTTATGTCACACGGTGATAGGGGGATCTATAACCGGAAGTTATTCTCCCCTCAAGCTTGATAATCCAGAAGTTGGGGGCCTGCTTGGCTAAGCGAAGTTATACTAGTCATCAAAGGCTTAAATCAGTGGGCAATAACGCCTTGAGTATCCCAGATGGGATGGCAGTGATGGAGGGATATCCCTGAATCAGTGGGATAAGCATCCTACTGGGTAAGGAGACTTCAGTAGGACTTATGGGAAGACGATTGTAAACTAACATAGCAGACGCAGATCAACATTCTCAGCACTTAGGGCGGGATGAGGTGGGAAAGTTAACGTGGGGTGTGGATAAGTCTCATGAAATCCGCTTAAAGAATACGCCATCCTACATTAAAATGAGCAAACAAGAAATTGTGATAATGAAGACGTAATAAAAGAATATAGAATAAATGAATATCCGAGGAGAGAAGGCGAGATACCACGAGTGTTTAGCAGACAATTGGGTAAAGGATCTTTGGTGAGTTGTAGTGTGGTGCTTAGAATCGGAAGGCTCAACAACGATGCCGACTACGAGGACGGTGAAACCCCTGGAAATCTACCAAGTCCACGCTCCGACTCTGGAAATTATCATGCATACAATGGAATCCGGACAAGTGCGTTCGTCTACGTTTTTCTATTAATATGACTAAGTTACGAAAACAAGGTCAATCAACTACTTTGCTGGGAAAGGTGACCGCGACCATACAAAATTCCACACCAGCTTGGTTTTCATACCTTAGTTTATATCCTTTCTTTGCGTTCGATATATTTCCTAAGCTTGTGATTGGCTATAAGTAAATTTTACTCACTTGCCCATCCACTTATTGGTGCTGATATTGAATCCAGCTACCAGATACGCAGTCTTTAAACGAATCACAGAAAAGTTGGCGCACATTGCCGTGTCTCTTTTTTCTTTATGGGAACACTTGCCCATCCACTTATTGGTGCTGATATTGAATCCAGCTACCAGATACGCAGTCTTTAAACGAATCACAGAAAAGTTGGCGCAAAAATTGTGCTTGACCTCGCAAATATTTACACAACCGGCTGCTCTATCAAGCAAGAGTTGAGCCACATCAGAGGCCGTATACTCTTCGCTCCGCAAGTCATACCAGCTGAGTACCGCACGTTGCCGTGTCTCTTTTTTCTTTATGGGAACAGAAGTCAAGTTAGATGATAGGCTAGAAAAAGAATCGGACATGATGCTGGCCGCAGTCTACTGAATGCTAAAGATTTAATAACAGTATTCCGTGGCGCTAAATAGCATCAATATTGCGGTATAAGTGTGTTAAAAGAGAGGGATGCATCCAAGACCTAGGAGAACATAGATGCCTTCATATCGCTAGCAGCAATCGTAACAAAATAAGCGGGGAAATACGGAGCAAGAAATAATAATATTAAAAAAATAATGCAAACAAGATATGAGAAAGGTGAGTAATTAGCAAAATGAATAAGATTGTAAGATGAA